ACCTGCCACTAGATTACAACTCTAGATCTAGATCTAGATTCGAGATTTTAGTAAAGGCACAGTCCAGGGAAAAACTTCAAGAAATTCTCGAGGTGATAAGTTTTACTGTAAAGAGAGACCAAAACAATCTCAATAAATAATATATCGCGACTATCACGGCACATCACGGCACATCACTTCACCTATACATGTTCCGGTAACTACCTATAAATAGATGGAACTTTGACCCGTGTCAAAGGTTGGGAGGTGGCTGACGATTCGGGAAGTGGCTGCGGGTTGACGAAAGGGAAAAGCGCACCGCCGCCATCCTTTCAACTCACGGTATTAGCAGAGTAAGCCTATTACTCTTTTTCACTGATGAAACAACCGCGAAGAAAAATGCCAGTTGCAACAAAGTGAGCACTTTTGCTCCTCAGTTCTTACTTTACTTAACTTTTTCCTTCCTCTGGTATCCTTAGGATGTCAAGGGGAAGTGCAGGTTTCGGCGTCAGTAATAGATATGTTAATAGTTATATTGTTCCAGGACCTTTTTAACCCCATCCAGTCAGGTCTTTCTTTGTCTTCCTCTTGATTTAAAGCCTGATTCGCGGGTGTGGTAAGCTCTAGCCGCTAGCTGTTTATGTTGCATTCTGGTTAGATGTCCGAACCATTTGACTCTTTGACGCTCTAATAAATTTACTCCTGGTTGACGTATGGTCTCGTTCCTTATGCAGTCCCCTCTGGTGACGTTGATGGTTTTGCGGAGACACCTAATTACGCGTGGATTGATTTTCCTTTCTCATGCCTTGTTTAGAGACCGTGTTTGGCACTGGTATGTTAATGTTGGTATGAAGATTCTATTGATGAGCTGGGATTTCACTTCAGTTGGGATGTTCTTATGACTGAGAAGGGGTGCTAGCTGGTAGGTCACAGCATTTGCCTTCATAGTTCTTGGTTTTTTTTCTTTGTCCATACTCCTATCTAGTGTGAAGATGCTTCCCAAATATTTAAATTCCTCTACATGTTGGAGTTGTGTTCCGTCAATAAGGATGTTGAGTTTTCCCTGGGGGTTTTTTCTAGCCTTCATAACTTCTGTTTTTGAAATGGAGATTTTCGTATTTAGGTGTTTACATTCCTCATTAATGAATTTTGTGGTGTCTTTTTGTGATTCCTCTTCATCTGTATTTAATGTACTCTGGTCACCAGCAAATAGAAGCTCGTTCAGTTCATTGATGTTGTCATTTGCTGCTTTCGTGATCTTATCCATCCATGTAAGTGAGGAAGAGAAGCGGAGAGAGAGAACACACCTTTGTCTCACCCCAGACCTGATGGGGAAACAGTCCGATTGTCCTTCTGTTGACCTTACGGCACACAGGCTGTTTTTATTAAGAGCCATGATGTTTTCCAGCAATTGTCCTTTTACACCATATTCCTCTAAGACTACCCGCCGGGGCGATGCCTTTTCTGGAGCCAAACTGGGATTGATTGAGTTGAGTCTCTACAATTGGTCTCACTCTCATTTCCAGTATCTTGGCAAACGTTATATCCACGCGGCTGAGAAGGGATATTCCTCTGTAGGCTCTGTGTTGTTTTTTTGCCCAGGCCAGGTTAAATATCCTCCATAACCAGAGTTCTCCGATGTCGCCATATAGTTTGATCTCTTCTGCTGTGATGTTTTCAACGTCTATCGCTTTGTTTGTCGGGCTTTTCTTTATAACATGTTGGATTTCACTCAGCAGTAGAGATGGTTCTGGAGTGGTTTCTTTCGTTGAGAAGCTGTTTGCTGTTGTTTCTGCTGTAGGATTCAGCAGCTCCGGGAAAAAGCGTGTCCATCTTTTCTTAATTTTTGGCTTTCTGAAAATAGGTTTTCCGTTCTCATCATCGACTATTTCAGTTGGGTTGAAAGGTTCTTCCCGCATCCTCATGTTTTTAACTCTCTAGTAAAACTCTCAAGGGTCTACTTTACATTTTGTTATCAGCTGTTCTCCATATACTGTCCAGGACCTGTTCTTAGCTTCTTTTACTACCCTTGATGTATAGCGGCGTTCCTTTCTGTATAGGATATAATCTTCCTATGTCTTTGACTTCTGTCACTTTGTGATTGCCTTTTTCTTCAGTTGGGCGGCTTCTTTCAGTATTTCACTTAGTCATTCCACCATATAGTTGTTTTCTTTTTCCGCCCTCTTGTTTTCCTGGTGCCGAACTCTTCTTTTAATGCTCCGTACACACATGCTTTGAAGTGGCTCCATTCCTCTTCAATGTCTCCCAGTTGTTTGGGCAATTTGTGAAATACATCTTTGTTGGTATTGTCATTTATATTTCTGAGATTTACGACTTCTCGTCGTTTCTTTGCTTCTGGCCTTTTCCTGTTTGGTGTGTCAATAGTCATGATGACTGGTCTGTGGTCAGTGTCTGTGATGTAGATGGGAATCATTTTTGAGTCTCTGATTTTTCTCAGTTTCGATCTCTTGGCCAGGATAAAATCAATTTGTGATGCTATCTTTAGGTCATTCCATTTGTATCAAGTTTTAACTTGACTCCTTTTATGTTGGAAGAAGGTATTTGATATAACAAAGTCATGTTCTGCGCACAACTGTAATAGCATTAATTTCTCCATTGCTGTTTTGATCTGTTTCTCTGTCACTGTGTGGCCTCATGTATCTCTCACACGTCGTCTTCCTTGTTTCCACTCTGTCTTTAAAGTCCCCCATGATTGTCACATTATCTTTGTCATCCACGGTGTTTAAAAGGTCACTCAGTTGATCATAGAACTGATGTCGCTGTTTTTCGGGGTATGATGAGTCATTGCATGATGCATATATTTATATTCGATGACCCTCAGTAATTATCATAATATTCTATGGTGATTTCCCGCTTTATACCATACTCGTTGAATTTTGTATATATTCTTCAAGTCTGTGTTAAGCTTTTTAGTTTAGTTTTAGTTTGGGTTTAACAGCACTTGCAACACAAATAGGCCATATAAGTCCCGAAGATTAGAGGTGTTAAAAGAGAGTAACCTACACAGAAAGGAACGAGGACAGAATAAGGACGGTTGATTGTTAATAAGGGAAAAAGGAACAAACCACAACCCAGAGTACCCGCCAACCTCCTGCTTGAGTTATGCATGTAAGATTGAAACTGCTTTCAATTTTAATCCTTTTCCCCCAAAAGCAAGTTAAAGAACTCTTTAAAACAAAATGAGTGATGTTTTTCTTTTGAAAATTGGACCATTATTATGGAAAGTATGCCCGTTTCGTTTTTGGGATAATAGGCATTGGACTCTCGACGTCACGCTTATGAATTATGACGTAATTAAACGGTAAATAGAATTTTACTCTTAATGTACTTGACTTTTATTTTTGTATATTGATTCTACATAAAACAGCAAACA